CTTTGAAAATCCAGATCAATTGCCTTTTGTAATCATCTTTATATGGAGAATAAGAAATTTCTCCATGTCGCCGAAGAAAAGTTTTCAGACTCCTTTGGTAAAAGCAGTAGGATTGTTAGCTCGAAACGTCCCCGTGCTACTTCATCTCAATACATTTACATTTCGGAATATTCATCCATATTTTAATCTTTTTGTGAAAACACGGTTGCCATACAACAACTGCTGGCACAAATTAGCTGGCTGTAAGGTTTGGAGGTTTGCTAAGACGCTTATCAGTTTTAGTAAGGCAGGATTCAGCGTATGGGAAACTTTTTTCTTAATATTCGTGATATGCGCAAGCAAATGCTTAATACCAAAACAAGCTCAAATCTTCTGTGCTTCTCTCTCTCTCAGTAATGAAGTCTGGGAAAGGAATCACAGACACCCAAGTGGTTTGGCAACTGTAAGTGACAGAAGCTCGGCTAAATCCTCTGTTTACACTGGGGATTAGCCGGGTAGATTGTGCGCCGCAAACTGAGCTGGCCATGGTCAAGGGAACCTGCTCCCTGTCAGCCCGCGGGGCACCCGCACAAAGCCCGGTCCTGGTAGGAAGTGACCCATAAACGTATTCCTACGAAGGATTTATACAAAGCCAGTCTGCCTCATAGAAACTCCATATGACCATTAACTGGCCTGCAAGGCCTGCCAGGAGGCCTAATTACAGGTCTACAGAGCCCAATAACAAAAGCTGAAGAGCTTTAGCCTAGGGATGATCTGCTTTATACTGACTTGAGAGAGTCCATATAGAGTGACAAAAAGAAAGAGGTTTAGCTTTAAAATTCTCCCAAGAGACAAAGCATTGTAGCTAAGTCTGGAAGGCCCACATGCAACATACTTCAGATAGGCTTAAACATACCACCCTCTCAAAATTAACATTCAACTATTGCCTGCTTAACATCTGCTCAAACATGGCAAGTTGCTGTGATATTGTTAGACAATGCTGAAAAGGCTTTCTTGTGGCTAAATATTGGGAAGGATAAGAAAATAAAGTCATGCAAATATCATTTACAGACGAGACCAACGGCAGGTTTTATAAATCGAGAACCAGGTGCCCTAAAAATTCAAGGGGAGTGCTTCGGTGTCTTCAAGTATTATGCTGCTTAATGCGAACAAAGATACTGAAATCAATCTGCACTAACAAAGAAAATGGTATTTAACAAAGCCTGTAGCAAGGCCACCACAAAGGACAGAGGCAAAACTTCTTGACAGCAGCAGATCACCTGAACGTAACGGTGGCCGCCTTTCTCTCCTCCCCTCCCAAACGCAGGTGAATTTGCTGTAATTTACCAACTCTCCTGCAACGAGAGACCAGAAAGTCCCCAAAGTGCACCAGCAAAATAAAATAACCCCTATTAAAAAGGGTCTGGTTTACCATTTGCTGTCTTTTGGCTTTCAGAGAAATTGGCTGATATTTCCTAGATGAATATTAAAGATGCTAAGAGCAGATTTTCCCAAGATACCGAACATCCACAGTTCCTGACGGAAGTTGGGCCTGGTGGGGAGGCCCTTGGACATTCACCTTCCCTGAAATCAAGCATTGCTGCTGACGAAGCGAGTAGTGAAGAGTGAAGGGAATACAATTATGTTTAATTAACTTTTTTAAGCCATGGCCATTGCACTAGAGCAGGACTTGGTAAAGTTGACATTCCAAAACCACTTTCAAAGCCCGTGTTCTGTAAATCCATAACCTTACTGGTGTGTTTCATACACCACCCTCTTTCTCTTGCTCAAACCCCCAGGGATAAAGCCATGTAATTTGCAAGTCAATAGGTTGATGTGAAGCAGAAAATTATACACACAAACACCCTCAGATTGAGAAGACAACCCTATCGTGCAAATATTTAACTGAAACACAACAAGAAACAAAGCAAAACACAGGCCATGAACTTTTGTACCTGGCACTCTCTGGTTCAATAGGGACGTATTGCAAACCCGTATCATTACTAACAATTTCTTTTTTCAAAACCAAAGTCCGACAGTAACTTGGCGTCTCCACCAGGACACAGCAGATATGTCCCAGTCTCTCTCTCTTTTTAATATAATGTTTTAATCTACAGAAGTGGCATTGACAAAGGATACATTGGAATTTAGACTATTTGATGGGGTTAAGCAAAAGAGAAACCTAGATTGTAACATAAAGAAATTAAATTTGAAATGTCATGAGGCTACGGTGAATAGGAATTACAAACTTAAATATTAGATAAATGTAGTGCTGGGAGAGGCTATAAGCAAAGTTCAAAACCTACCATCAGCTTGAATTTGAAGTCAGATTGCTCTTACAACCAACACTGGTATTTTATAGACAAGCTAGCTTCGATTTATGCACATTAACATTTAATATGCTTTGTAACCTTACACAGCCGAGGTACTGTTTGCTGTATTTGTGTTATGTTCATTCGAAGGCATTGCCAATACATTAATAACCAAAACCATTTGCTAAGTAAACCAAGTACAGTACAGCAATATGCACTGCACAGTACAGTAATACGTGGAAATCTTTAGAATGAAATGGGCAAATATATTTCAATACCAGGGACACAATAAAATGTTAGATTCATGCGGGAGATGGGATAGTATTGCCTGGAAATGGCCTGGAAAGGGGAAATGGAGATGCCAACGTTAGAGCGCATCAGTGGAGATGAACAGCGCAGGGACTTTCCCAAATGCTTCTCTAACTCTCGGGGGTAATTTGGAGGCACTGCAGAAGGTGGAAACTGTTTTTGTCTATTGAAACCATTGAGAAGAGTGCATGTTAGGAACAGTCCCTAAAGTCTGGGGCGTTCCGTACTGAGCACTACGCACACAACCAGCGGCTTTGTTCATCGCCACCAAGGTACAGATTAAAACTCCCATTTCGTTCAGCTACGTGATCGTGCTACAACAGCAACACCAATTCATCTGGTGATTTTGAACTCTGGAAAGCCAACAGAACACAAGCAGCTCTTCAGTAATGCTCCAATGGCCGTTTGCTTTTATTCCTCTAAAGGTGAAAAAAGAGCTCATTTTGCAATGAATAAACACAATAAAGACATTGAAACAACAGCATTAACATGCTCATCCTCTTAAATTAAATTAATAAAAATTCAATTTAATTGACTGAATACAGGACCGGGAAAAGGAGGTAGGAACGATCTCATAAATGCTTAAGATTACCAGCACCTAAATAACGACAGGAAACATTTTTTTTCCTATAAAATTGGGATGGTAAGAGATACAAACAGATTAACTCTCTCGAGTTATTTATGAGCAGCGTGCAGCTTCAATCTAGGTTTCCGACTTCAATTGTGAATATTTAAATTAAAAAATATCATAGGCCCTTTATATGTTTCTGGAAATTTCTGGGACCCAGGTCACGATGATATACAACTCCTAGGTATCTTTTATACATTTCCCAGGTGTTAAATTAAAAAATGAGGTGTGACAGATGTGAGTAGTATAAACAAATTGTGCTTTTTTAGGTCAGTGCTGTCACATCTACTTTATAATTATATGCTTCAAAGGTTTATTAAAAGTTATGGAGAACAATGAACGCATTTGAAACTATAGAATATAAAGGGCTAGGTGCATTTTTCTGGGAAAAAAAAATCCAGGAAAGTGAAAAGATGGTATTCCTTAGAACAGGAGGTTTCAGTAAGGGGGAAAAATAAAGAATGATACTAGAAATCACTGTTTATAAATTAAGAATCTATAAACCAGAGACAGACAGAAGCTGAACTAAAGACAAACACTGTATTTATTACAACACGTATGAAATACTGCAAGTTTTCCTTTTTGTGTGGAAAAACTGACAAAGTTTTAACAGGAAAATTAAAATGGGAAACGTTAAGATACAGAAATAAATTAGCATGACAAACCTCAACACAGAGTAACATATTAGAGAGTTAAATTGTTATTTTAATAATCTGAAGACAAATGAAAATACCTCAAGAACATCCAGTACGTTATATCTAGATATCTTTATAAACCACCATGATCCCACCACAGTGTAAGGTTCTCAGATGATAATTTCACATGCAAGTGCATCAAAATAACTAAATAAGTTCAAAATAACTGCTTGGAGACTGGGTGAAGGGAGGACAAAATCTCCACATCAAGGCAGAGATTTTTGCAAGGCCTCAAAGAGCAAAACGAACCTTGGTCTACATCAGCCCAGTGGCCAAACCCACAGCAGCACTACAGGAGTGTTAAAAAAGTAAATAAATAAATAAAAAAAATAAAAAAGGGAACTCCTGTTCATTTGGGAATGAGTATGTCTTGGACTTACCTTGGACTTAGATAAGTATCTGCAAAAAAGCAGGATTAACAAAAAGGACTGATCTTCTAGCCTTTGGTTCAATAGAACAAGAGTTTCCATAAATTTTTAAACGTGACATGAAGCTACAGGATCCCTCCAATTTCAAATTGAATTAAAAGTTCCAAATAGTTACCGAGACATGCATTTTGCCTTCCTTGTTACTAGCACTAGACAAAATAGGAATGCTTCTTTCTGGAGGGCACTAATATGGAGGTCAGCCTCTTGCTCTGACCCTTTTGCTACGTATTTCTGCTACCACTTCAAACAAAGAAATATAAATATTTACATGCACCAAATTAGTTCAATGCTAGAAACTAAAGAAACAAAACCAAATTTTTCAGAATGCAGACTAAGAGTTTTGGTAGCAGCAGCAAGAGGACAAACACATGGAGTCTGAGCGCTGGTTCTCCAACAGCAGACAACACAAAGCACTTTATCTCCTTAGAGGAGTTCAGTAAATGCCAAGGATGATGCACACCAGTTGCAACTTAACCAGAGACTGAAGTGAGCTATGGGAAAGGGACTCAGCCTTTGTCAAGCAGAAAAAAAGTAAAATTTCTATCGTGATAGGTTTCATTTGTCTGATATTATTAAAAAAAAGAAAAAAGAAAAAAGAAAGAAAAGAAATAAAGAAGAATATAATTTGATTTATAATAGCAACACTTACCAGCTGCCTCAAGAACCAGCTGTAATCTAGCTTTGGCCTGTTCAGCAGGAGTCTGAAAAGAGAGGATTTGTAAATCTTCACAACTGTTTGCACAACCGAACACGCGAGGTCACGTTACCAGGCACGCAGCCCCCACCGCTACCAGCCATAATCTGGTCTTAATATGATTAATATGGCGAGTTTTTCACACTACTTCTGTTATCTGTTTTGATTTTTTCCTTTCCTTAAGGTATTTCTTCACATCTGTTGGGCTGAGGAGCACATTGTTGGCTGTGTACCCACTATGCTAATTATTCCAAGTGATGTTTCACTGTGTCCAATGCGCTTGCCATCCCTCTAATTTTGAAGCCACTCAAACGTTTTCACAGTTAAATTTATACATAAACCACATTTGTCATGGAGTGCAGAAGTTGATTATTTCTGTAAGCATCTGAAAAGTTTGGGAGGTTTCTGCTCTGCAGCTAAAAAGAACAAAGCACGCAGGAAGTTTCTGGTGTCATCCTTCAGCTTTGAGGGCTCTTCTGGGCAGACACCTGCACCCAGAACATTTTTCCTGATAACCAGCGTTAAGTTGTCACCTTTCAGGTTTCACCTCACTGCTGATACAATGTCAGTCAAGGCAGTCGGGCAGAGCTCTTTGCTCTGAAGGTCCCAGCTGATGATGCTCTGCAGGGAAGAGCGGTAGCCCTGAGCAGACCCCGGCTTTCCTCAAAACCTCTTTCAACCGAAGACATCCCAGCCGGCGTTGTGTTTGACATCACCCATTCGGGGAGGATTGCTATTTCAGAAGCACCACTGCATTCACACCTTCACACGAACAGCCTGTGCGCTTGCACAACCCCGTCCAGCAGCTGGGTTCTGGCATCCAGTAAAGCTTAAATCAGGTTCTCACATTTGTGTCGTCCACTCTGTAGCTCAGTGTTTAATTACCCTAAGGGATCCCCCATCCCCAGCTCGGCAGGAGCAGCAGCAGCAGGAGCCAGCACGTTCCTAAAGAGAGCTGCTCTGGGAGGCTCAGGGGCAGCTCAGGTGCTGCAGTCACAGCACTTTAAATTTGGTTTTTACTGTTTCAAACTAAGAAAAAATTGACAACAAAAAAAACCAACCCACACAAGTTGCTAGCTAGCTACAGGGAGTAAGGGATGTCTGATGGGAGCTCCAGAGATGCCATTGGCGTCATGTTTTGCTTTAAAAATGTTCTATTCAGGGGGAATTCAGCTTTTATTTTACTGAGATAATTAATAAGTTTGGAACAAATGCTTCAAATCAGGTGCTAGATTTTTATTTTTACAAGTCTTCCTGCTACTTGTGATGAATTTTGGACTGAGAGATCAGTATTCAAGTGAAACTACACTTGGGAAAGTTGAGAAAAAAATCACCAATTTTTTTTTTTAAAAAAAGAAAAGGAGTCCAGACTTCTATTTGAGCTAACGAGCAGTGTGAATATTGCTAAGTAATGCATGTGGCTCTTGTCAGTGTCAGCCACCACTACCCCACCACAAGCGTTGAGCAGTTAACCACGACGAAACGTTGTGAGTCGCAGCGTGCTCCTGCCTAATTTTTAAGGAGTTTTCCTGAGGAATGTCACCGACGTTTGTCTGTGCTAATACCGGTTACGTTCAATCCCTCCTGCCCATCGCTAACAATACTGGTCAGGTGTAATGCACTACAGGACTTTTCGCTCTCACGACATGCCTATAAAAGCCTAACAAACCCGAGTGTGGTTTGTGTGGAAATCACAATTAAATGACAGCCTTGCAGAGGGGATGCAGGGTATCAAATATGTTTAACAAAACCAGTCGGGTTCATCACTTAGAAATTTTTCCACTTACGGGTAAAAGCACAGCCTTCTCCAGACCCACAGCTGCCCCAATCTGTGTGTTAGGAAACTCCAAAGCCACAGATCCCCAAACTTTGTGGATCTGTTTGCTTACACAGTTGAAACGTCTCAGTGTTATGTCTTGCATGGCCCCGAGGAGGTTGGTGTCCGGGTTCCTTCCCGAAGCTGACTCACGGCCCCATGGCCGATTGCCAGGACAGCAGTGGCAAATGTTCCTGCTCAGGTTTTGGGAACAATATTACTGCAAGCACTCGTTGCAGCTTAAAATAGAACCCGAATTGTGCTTGTGTTAAATATAAGGCTCCTCAGCAAGATGCCACTTCCCTAGGTTTCAGTTTCTCTCGCTGCAATTGTACTAAGATTCCAGTTTTAAAACCAAAACAATACCCAGAGGACTCAGCAAATAAACACCAATTAAGTGAGCCTGTATATGACTCTGGAAGCCGAACACAAATCCATCCTCTTAGTTCAGCTCCAGCTTACCATCAGTTACTTTCCTGGGGACATGTATCTAGTCATTCCCAACCCCTGCAGAGATCAAAAAAAGTGTAATAATTAATTAATAATAATAATAATAATAATAATAATAAAACTTCAGTTTCCTAGCTGTTGGAAGAGCTGGCTATCCAAAACAATTGAGAATAGATACAAAGTGGGTCAAAAACCTACAGCAAACTGTTGCAGTGAATTCCAGAAAAGAAAAGTTGGGAAGGCAGCGTACAGCACAAGGACCTCAGTATCACTGCAACCAGGACTCTCCCAGAGGCTTTCTCAGGTGATTCTGCTCCACGTTCTCTGGTTGATTTTTACTTTTCACTCAAAACCAGAGGAAGGGTACAGGGCAAAGACTGGTTTTGGTTAAAGCTAACCAACTCTCACCAGCTTGCAGGGGGCTGGCAGAGCAGAGACACTGGGCTCATGGACTGAGCCAGCAGGAGCTGACCGAGGCCAGCCGAGCAAGACGTCCATGGCTTTGGTTAGCTGGGATGAAGGAGAGAACTGTTTTGCAGTGATGCAAACCTGCAAAGTGTTGTGGTTGGTGCGTTGTGGGTTTTTTGGTGCCAGATGGAGGCTCTGGGCTGAGAAATGGCAGCAGGGCTGGGCCAGCAGAAGCTCCAGCTGAAGAGGGGTGGCTGGGGATTATCCTAGGACTGCACCCTCCGGTCTGAGGCTCCTCTTCCAGAGACTACCTGTTGGCAGCGACTGTTCTGGGAGGGTAATGAAGGGAGAGGAGAGGCTCCTCCAGAGCTAAAGGACAACCTCACACTGTCTAAACAAAGTCCTCACCGACAAATGTTGTCTCATGAGTCTACGGGATCTCCTCAAAAAGTCAAGCTGATGTTCTCATTGACGTGCCAAAAGCTTTAATTAAAGTCCTACATGAGAAAAGCAGGCAGCAAGGCACAAGACAACCAGGCCCCGTCTCACAGCACCAGCAATTACTCCCGTTCCCCATTAAAACATTGGGCTTACAGCCTCGGTAGCGATCTGGGGAGACTGCCGAAGTGATGGCATCGCTCTGCATCTACAGGTAAATGCATGACTTAGGGGTACAGGAGGCTGAAAGCCTTAACCAGATCAAGCGGTAACGGCAGCACAGAACAGCATAAAATGTAATGCTGATAAATACAGAGTAATGCAGATTGGAGAGAACTTCTCACTCGCCTTATTGTGTTCTCAAAGCGCGCTATCAATTCAGGAAAAAAATAGTTTAGGCATCATTGTGGACAGCTAAAAGGAGACCTCAATGTATATCGGTAATGAGAAAAGACAAGGAAGAAATGAAAAAAATTAAACAAAGGGGATAGATGTATAATTTCATTTTAATATATTCTGTAAGTCGGTGGCCTGCCTTCACCTGAAATATTATACATCCCAATTCTAGTAAATCTATCTCAACAGGGAGAGAGCAACAAAGAACCCTAACCCCTGCCTATCTTTTAAATAGAGTTTGATCAAATTAGGAAAAAGATTATGTGACATGTTTGTTTAGCATAGGAACGGAGGCATTCCTTTTGAGTCATCCCTTTCTCATCAGGAGATTAAAAAAATAATAATTACCAAAGAAAGTGAAAATGAAGAACTTATTTGTATTACAGGACACCTCACAAGGGCATGCAATATTAAAAAAAAATAATAAATTGAAAAAGACTGAGAACTTGTAATTGTCGTCTTTTTTATACAAAAGCCAGAGCAAACAGGATGAATTTGAGGCTGGCAAATTCAGAACTGACAGAGGAACATTTTTTCCTCATTAAAACAAACAAACAAAACAACAGAAGAATTCACGACATGAATTAGTAACAGAGAAATGTAATAAGCGTGCCCAGCATTATTTGATTTATACCCCTGCATTTTCAGACATTAATCAGCAGAAATGACTGGATGCTAAATGCTATTTCTGACTTGGTGTTTCTTCTCTGATACAATCAGTCGGTAATGCACAGATACAGGCTATGGCAGGGACCACTGTTCTGACCTAATGTAATCCACCTGCTCCAAAAAAATGAATTTTTGATAAACTGCGAAAAAGAATAAATTGGGAAAGTGAGTCCAGCACGAGATGGCACCGAAGCTGTTTACTCCACAACAAGGGAGGTGTTTTCCAGCTTGCCTCCTACCCCTACCTACCTTCCTGTTAAATACAACGGAGAAAGGATGATTTGTTCTTACCACTACCCAGCTAGCTGTATGAAAACGTTCAGCAGCTAACAGTGGAACACATCAAATTTGTATTATATTGACAGAGCGATTTTACACTCCTACTATCGCATAGGATGGAATTGGAAATAAAATTAAAAAAAAAAAAGAAGAAAAAAATCTGTCAGACTGTTTGCAGTCTAATAGGAAGCACGCTTTTTATTGCAAAACCCTGGTGCTTGGTTTGTTGGGTTGTTTGGTGTTGATGTTGCTTTTTGTTTATTTGTTTGTTTGTTTTTTTTTAAACTTTAGGTAAGCAGCCTAACAGGAACAGAAAACACTGTAAGCTTGAGAAACTGCCCGTGCTCTGTTTCCTAAGAATTTTTATACTCTTTTTGTGGACCTCTCATCAACACACGCTAGTTACAGTCTAATACAAATTACTGACCTGTTCCATGTTACTACTGAAACAGAATTGAGCATAACAAAAATCTTGATCTTAGATGTTGTCAGACCTACGCAATTATCAAAGCGTGATGTACATGAATTAGAAGTGGAAAAAAATCATGTAA